CCTTATGGCCTCCCATTTCAGATCACTCTCTACATCTTTCAGGTCATCACCACTTCAATTCTTCTTCTTAACATCTACCTACAAATTACATAAACACGTAACTTTAATTATACATAACATAAATGATATGATTGAATATTCGAATACAGGATCCCAGCACAAGCAATTGGTGGGTGCAATATGGAGAAAAGATCAATATAGGATACTGGCCAGCTGAGTTATTTGATTTATTGAGGTATCATGCTGAATGTGCTGAATGGGGAGGTGAAGTGTACAGTTCAAAGTTAGGACAATCACCTCATACTTCCACAGGAATGGGTAATGGACACTTCCCAGATTATGTTTCTGGCAATTCAGGGTCTATCAAGAGAATGAGAATTCGTGATAATTCTTTGATTTTGAAAATCCCAGCATGGGCATATTGTTATGTTGATGAATATTGTTGCTATAATGGTGATTATATTCGAGAATATGTCGAAGATCCAGAGTTTTACTATGGCGGACCTGGAAGAAACTCTATGTGTCCTTGACACAATTCATATAAATTTGAATGTAATAATGAAAAATTCAAGAGCCATGGTTGCTACAATATAATAAATTAGGGTAATTTAATATATGAAAAATCCAAATATCAAAGATAAGAAAGCTCTGCGATTCCCACTTTCTTCGCCTCTCAACCAAACCACAAGCAAAACCCTAATTCAAATATCAAAGATAAGAAAGATCTATGATCCTTTATATCAAAACTTATAAAAGACACTTGCTTTCAAACATCTTTCCTCGTTCTTGATCTGATCTTTTCACTAATTTTCCTTGTTGCCTCTAATAGGGTCCCAAACAAAATAAAGAATGGATTATAGAGACATTTCGCTTAGGGTGAGAAATTAACCATAATTTTATTGCTAAAATTATTCCATACCAGTACCTTAGACATATAAGCTTAAATAAAAAAGAAAACATAACTGCTTCTATAATACAATAAACTGTAAATAACTACTAGAAACTATCTGATCATATTTTCTTTAGAAACTGCTCTAGTAACTGTTTAATTATATTTTATGGTTCTTGAAATATCGAGGGTTGGGCATGTAACGGCCCCAGAAATTCAAATAAATATGTATGTATAAAAAATCTTAAATGCGGAAGTGAAATAAAAATTTTGATTAACATCCCTTACACAATAGCCATAAACGTATTCAACGTATGAAAGAATAAGCTAATTAAAAGAAATACTCGAAATAAAAACTATAAATAGAACTATAAAATCTTTAGGCGTCTAACTCGCCATCTTCCTATGGAACGGGCTCGGGAACCACGTCTTCCTGATCTGAAATGGTTAAGTAAGGAATGAGCTACACTAGCCCAGTAAATACATCACAGTATCTCACTGCCACAGTAGTAAAAGTTGGTAGAAAACAAAAACGACCAATAGAGCATAATTTATAACAAATTCATTTATTAATAATAAAAATCTTTACTGTCCACTTACCTCGGTGAGATTCGTGAAAATATCATATAGAAACAATAACATTATAACCATCATAAAATCATATACACTTTGTAACATAACACATGTTATACTTTTGCACTTCAATAATCAGACAACAGATTTCCTCTTTTACCAGCCTACTAGTATCCGTGGGGATCCATAGGGGGTCCTCGCTACACGTGAACCATTAACATTAATAATCTGATTCCAGGGCCGTCCCCATACCCCGTCCGGTATGGGTACCAAATCCATGAACCTCAATACCCCGTCTGGTATGAGGGTGAAACGGGCCGTCCCCATATCCCGTCCGATATGGGCGTCAAAACCATAAACCTCAATACCCCGTCCGGTATGAGGGTGAAACGGGTCGTCTCTATACCTTATCCGGTATGGGCGCCAAAATACATAAGATCTCCATACCCCATCCGATATGAGAGACCACGTTCCCGTTAGGGTTCCCTACGGATCCGGTCCGTCCACCATCTCCTAGGATATCTAGTAAGGCTGTCCACATTATCCATTTATCAATTCACATAACCTTTTCCCCATTTTCCTTGGTCTCAATTTTTCAATCATACACAAACACGTAAACTAATAATAACACCAAACAAAACAACACAACATCGGGTTTACCATAATTTAAACCATAATAAAAGAAATTATGATTCATGCATACGAAATCATAAAATAAATACATCAAATACCATACTGCATTTAATACTGGAAAATTGATCAACAGCACTGAGCGACAATATATCAGATTCAGGCTCTATTGACAACCTCAATCAATTATACATATCTCTAATGTCATAAAATACCGTTTTATTATTTATTGAGCTTTAATACCGTGATAGAAAATAGGGTGAGAAATCCTTACTTATTTCGGGGTCTGAAATTGGCTTTACAGTGCGCCTACGGGCTGTCCCTAAATTCCCTAAATTTTTTTCGAAAAATTGAAACGCACTACCGGTACTTGCACGTGTCCCAAAAAATTCCAAATCAGATCCATGACCCCTTTTCGGCCAATATCAGAATTCCGGCACGGCGGCTCCGCTGTGCTCCGGCGACGGCACCGCCACTCACGGCGGCGATCCGCCTTGGATTGGCCGTTTTCGGCCGAATTCAGCCAAACTTGCATTGGTTCCTGCGATAAAACAACCCTAGGGCCCTCAATGGGCCAAAAAATCACGAAAAATCGAGACTTATCAGCGGCAGAGCTCTCGGGTGCGGCAGCTTCTCCGGCGCGAGTTGCGGTTTGATGTTTTGCTCCCATCAACCTATAGAGAAAAGGATGGTGATCACAGTGGTGTAAAAATTGCATCAAACAAGAACCGGAAAGGGCCTCATCGGAGGCAAAAATCAAAGGAAGCCACAGCAGCGCCGCGGACTTCGGTGGTGTTTTTCGGCCGATTGGCCGGTGGTTTGGCTCCGATTTGGCCATAGGCAGATTCAACATCGAAAAACGAGCCAATAAGAGAAAATTTACATCGTTTGGCAGTCGGAAAACCCTCCGGTGCGGTGGCAGCGGCCGGCTCCTCCGGCGACTGGTTCTTCTTCTCCGGCAAGGGCACTAGCGGCTAGGGTTTGGGGTCGGGTGTGTGTGAGGTTATTTATAACCTTTCCTTTTTAATCTCAACTA